TGTCTAGCACAAGAAAGAAATTAATGCAGGTTTGGGACAACATGAGAGTGAGTAAATAAGAATTTTAATTTTGGGTGAACTGTCCCTTTAATGACAAGCAGCAGCATTAGTGCTATTAGGCTGCTGTCACTTTAAGAGCTGCACGGATCCAATTTACTGTTACACTAGCATTTTCATTCTCAACTCTTTACGTTCATTTATTACATAACCGACGAGGGTTTATGTGAATAATCACTAAGCGCCGCATTTTGACACATTTTAGCGTGTATTTGACCGCTTAGGCGCTAAAAAGATGACTTTACGTGTCGGTGTTGTGTTCCGTCTCTGAGCGAACGCACAGAAATCCTCCCGAGCAGCAGCGCAAGTTCTCTTTCACGCTTTTAAAAACATGAATAAATCAAATCAACTTTAATAAATCAAGCACGTCCCATTTTGCAATAGTCTCACTGATTTCCACGAGAAACCGCTGGAAAGGGGCGCAATAATCGTTTGTATTTTCATAACCGTTGGAGGCCGAAATTGAAACCGAAAGGGAATGTGGATTAATTGGTCTCCCTGTTGTTGTGTGTTCTGGCAGCGACGGAGGAGCTGAACCGGCTGGTGTCGGAGGCCTTCCTGAGCGTCTTCGTCCGGAGCGTGGGTCACTTCTCGCAGCACGTCAGGAGGAGCGCGAGCTCGCGCCGGTTCCACAAGAAGAGCTTCCTGAAGGCCGTGGAGCACAGGTCACACCTGAACTTCGTCAAGCTCTTCATCCAGACACAGATGTTCGATCTGTTCATTCAGGAAGAGGAAGCGCAGCCCAACCCTAACGGTACAAACACACACTCCAGTTTAAGAAGCTCTAACTAACGCTTCCAGTCAGAACTGTCTGGAGAATCTCTTGAGCGTAAGAGGTTCCTCAAAGGTTCTTCAAACACATCTATGCAGCTTTTTTCTTTTTGGAACCTAAATAAGACTCTTTTGACTGAAATCATGTGTTTTTAGGCTACATCATCTCAGCTATCAGGGAACGTTCTCTGAACTTTGGCTAACGTTCTGGCGACGTTATGAACATATGTGACCCTGGACCACAAAACCAGTCATAAGGGTCAATTTTTTGCTGAATAAATAAGCTTTCCATTGATGTATGGTTTGTTAGGATAGGATAATATTAGAAAATCTGGAATCTGAGGGTGCAAGGTTTGTTAGGATAGGACAATATTTGGCTGAGATACAACTATTTGAAAATCTGGAATCTGAGGGTGCAAAAAACTAAATATTGAGAAAATCGCCTTTAAAGTTGTTCAAATTAAGTCTTTAGCAATGCATATTACTAATCAAAAGTTACATTTTGATACACTTACGATTCAAAACATCTTCATGGAACACGATCTTCACCTAATAGCCTTGGCATAAAAGAAAAATGTAACATTGTGACCCATACAATGTATTGTTGGCTATTGCTACAAATATACCCCAGCGACTTAACACTGCTTTTGAGCTGCAGGGTCACAAATGTTCTTCCAGTAATGTAAATTAAAATGTTTAATAATGCTCTTTAAAAATGTAAAATGTGTCTTTAACAATGTTCTCAAAACGTTAGCGAAAAATTTTATCTGACTTGTTTCAGAACGTTCAGAGAACATTCGAAAGTAAAATAACATATAACGTAAGAGGTTTGCAAAATGATAAAATGGAATGTTCGCTTAACGTTCGTGTAACCAACCGTTTTTAAAGCGTTTAAAAAACTGGACATTTTTCAACATTCCGAAATAGTTTTTTCTTACTGGAAAAGTTAGCAAAACATTTATGTTAGCTAACATGTTCTTTAAATGTCACTTTATTTAAATACTCGAGACTAATAGCGTTTTAACGGAAGAATGTGTTTTAGAACAGCCTTTTTAACGCTACATTTTCAGTAATTATAAAGTTGTTCAATTTATGAAGCTTGTTTAAAAATAAAGGTAATTGCTACTTTTTTTTAATCTTCTCTCGCAATTCTGTTTATATATATATATATATTGCAATTCTGACTTTTTTTTTGGTAATTCTTCAAATTTTGAAGATATCAAGTCAGAATTGCAAGATACTGTATATATTCGCAATTGTGAAAAAAAAGTCAGAATTGTGAGATTAAAAACCGTAATTACCTTTTTCATTTATTTATTCAGCTGTGGTAACAAAACAAAAAAAGTCAGAATTGCATTATATTTTGCAATCTTAGGACAAAAATGCCATTTTTCTTTTTACGATGCATTTTTATGTGTTAAAAATAATGCTGTCAAGTAATTAATCGCATACAAAATAAGTGTTTGTTTACATAATATATGAGTGCGTACTGTGTATATTTATTATGTATTTATAAATACAAACACATGCATTTATATATTTAAGAAAAATGTTGTTTATATATTAAATATATTTATATATGTAAAATATAAGAATATAAATGTATATACATACAAAATATATACATGCATGTGTGTGTATTTATATATACATAAATATACACAGTACGCACACATATATAATGTAAACAAACACTTTTATTTCGGATGCGATTAATCGTTTGACAGCACTAGTTAAAAATCAAGACTTAATATTGGTTGTTAGCAGCAGGTAAAACAAAAGTTTTCAATAAATTATATACAGAGAGTTAGCAAAGAATGTTCCCCATGAAACACTTTCATTATCATCACTGTAGCTGTTTATACATCTCTTGCATACATCGTATCTGTTGTTTATGATGAGAGAATTCAATCAGCAAGCGCATGCTCTGAAACCCCAGTGATTTCTGCTGTATTATTTGTATTTCTGATCATATTCTGGTTCTCCTGTAGCGTTCTTTCACAGGAAGGTGTTGGAGTATCACGAGAGGAAGAAGAAGGAGAAGACGAAGGCTGGATGGGTGCGAGGTGTGGTGGTTTAGGATGTCTTCACGTTCGTTCAGTGTTACGCTCCTCTCAGCCTTTCCTTAATAACATACTTCAAACATTCCGTCAGTATTTAATGCTGTTTATTTGTACACGGTTTTAACATAATAAAATATCAAGTGAATTGATACATGTTAGTTTGAGAGTGCCGTAAGTGATTTGAAACAGGAACACGTCCAGTTCATATCTGACCTTACTAAAGCTAAAATTAGAATTATACAGCGTTAGTGTGATTTTCATTATTGTGGCCGTTTAATGTTTGTGTATTCCTCATTATTTTCAGTGGCGATTCTCATTTAGTGTCATTTTTGTAGTATTGCAATCATTACAATAAACATTTTATTTAAATAATTTAAAAATACTTTTATGGATTTTAATTAATATTCTTTTTTAAATGGGGATTTTATTGTATTTTTTCCTGATGAAATATGAGCCAGAAATGTTATTTTTGCATAAAACTCACCCACCAATAACCAACTTTAATAACGTAATCAGAGAAGTTAGGCCTTTTTACAGTTGTATAAAACAATGCATATTTCTAGAACAAACGATGTCCAACATGTTTACAACATAAAACAAACCAAGAAGTGTAACATTATCTGGGGCCTGTTCCATAAAACAAGTTTACACAAATAAGCCAGGCTTATTTCAGTTAGCCCGACTTATTTAGAACCAAATGAGCTGACAATAAGTCAGACTAACTCAAATAAACCTGGGGCCTGTTCCATAAAACAAGTTTACACAAATAAGCCAGGCTTATTTCAGTTAGCCCGACTTATTTAGAACCAAATGAGCTGACAATAAGTCAGACTAACTCAAATAAACCTGGGGCCTGTTCCATAAAACAAGTTTACCAAACAAGCCAGGCTTATTTCAGTTAGCCCGACTTATTTAGAACCAAATCAACTGACAATAAGTCAGACTAACTCAAATAAGCCTGGCTTATTTAGTAAACTTGTTTCATGAAACAGGCCCCTTCTGTATTAGATTAATAAACGCAATAGTTAGAGCATAATTTCAGACGGTTGTGTGAATGTTGTACAAACGTTGTCTAAATGTTAGTATGAAGTTTCCAGAGCTTGGAGTGTTTCTGCTGGAGCCTGGCAGTCTCTGCGCCTCGTCTGGAGCGTCTTCTCCTCGTCAGATGCTGCCGGCGAGCAGCGGAGACGTCTCCGAGGGCCGGGAGTGGTGCGAATCGTACAGGTGTTCGCTCTGGAGCTGCACCTCCGCTCGCAGGTTGATCTTCTGCAGACAGAAACACACACGAGTGTGAGACACGCAGAGCTGGGTCACTGATTGCATGTGATCTGGATTACGCGATCGGATTCCAAAAATTAAGTACTTGTAATTAGATTAAATTACATTTTAACTCTTTCTCCGCCAGCATTTTTGAAAAAAGTTGCCAGCCACCGCTTTTGCTGATTTTTACTAATATTTCATGGCCCCCAGAATATTTTGTTGCATGAATATCTGAACATGCAATACATCAAAATAATGATCAGACCCTCTACTTTCAAACAAAAAGAATCAGTTTTATTATTGCTATTTTATCAACGCTCGAGTGTAGGTAGGTTTCATAAAAAAGCAACATTTTGAGCAAAATCGCATTTTTATCAAATACCACACCTGGATCATATTCAGTAATATTATCAAAGCAAAGATGCAGTAGATGGCTTCCATCAGCGCTCCCAAAGCTTTACCACTTTCTGGATCCACATTTCACTCTGTAACATCAGGCAGTTTTCATTTATATGCTGTTAGTGTTGATGATTGCATTATTTTTCATATGCACATGCATACATAAGAGATCGCTTGTTTCTGCGTCTTTCTGGGGGCTGTTCCATAAAACAAGTTTACACAAACAAGCCAGGCTTATTTCAGTTAGTCTGACTTATTGTCAGCTGATTTGGTTCTAAATAATTCGGGCTAACTGAAATAAGCCTGGCTTGTTTGGTAAACTTGTTTTATGGAACAGGCCCCAGGTCTGTGTTTTTATCGGCACTTTCTAGACTCATTCAGATGTGTTATAGCGCCCCCTAGTGTATAACAGTGAAAACACGGAAACGTTCGTGTTTGGCTGGGAAAGAG